TCTGAGCTCTAGACAGCATCTTTTTGTCACAAATACCTGTGATTGTATAGCTTGTATAGCATTCTTTGAGCCCCGTAAGGGTTTTTAATACACAAATACCTGGACTGTGGGTGGTTATTTTTTGCACTCATTATACCCTTCCTAACACAGTTAACATTTTCAAAAAAAAAAGATGACTGGTGAACATATGAGGACAACAAAGACACCTGTCGAGTCATCACCACTTTGTCCAAGGGCCTTTTCTCTGAAGAGGACATTCTAGAAACAATTCCTCTGTTAGAAAGGTCCCTAACCAAACATGAGGTGCTCAAAGCCATTCTCGAGTTAGACCACCATAAGACACCATGCCATTCTCTTCACCAATTCTAGGACACCTCTGGCTCAGCATCGTGGTATGGCTCGCAGAATTCCTCAAGGGGGCATCAAAAACAAGGGAATGAACACCACTTTCATTGCTCTAATCCCCAAGCTAGAAGAAGCTAAGGAGATCTAGAAATTTAGATTGAAAAGACTGATCAATAGTTCCTATAAAAATTCTAGTGAGTGTATCTGCATCCAGCCGATGCCAGGCTCTGAGCCAAGTCATCTCTCCTCCTCAAGGCACCTTCGTAGTGCTCATTGCAAATGCATGCATTGACAAGAGATTCCAACCCAAAATTCTGCGTTATCATCTGCAAATTGGATATGGAACACACATGTGACCTGAATGTCTGGGTGCTTATCCTCTGTTAACATTTAGTCCTCATCAATGGAACCCCACAAAGTTCCTTTCTAGCTTCATGTGGGTCACGACAGAGAGATCCACTTCCCCCTTCTTGTTCGCATTATGGCAGACATTTGACAACCTCTACAATCATGGCCCCTCTTGTTCGCCATTATGGCAGACATCTTCAGTAGGTCCATTGACAACCTCTACAACAATGGTTGTCTCAAGGGTTTTCCAACTCATGCAATGGACCAGCCATTCCCATCTCCAATCCACGAATGACACTCTTCTATTTGCAATGTAAACCCTCATCACATCGACATCCTACAGCTGTTCACGAGATGCTTCAAATTAGAGACTAGTCTTAAGTGAAAATGGCCAAAACCAGACTTCTTGGAGATGGCCTAGCCTCAACAGTATCCAAGCTTTGGGGCAGAGGGTGAGCTGCGGCATATACTCACATGGGTCTGCCTTTGTGAATTGATAAACCAAAGAACTCCGAATATGATTGTATTGTGGAAAACTTCAAGAGTACCTTGTCATCATGGAAATGTCATTTTCTCTCACTGAGTGGTCGAACGACTCTGATCAAGGCAACTTTATCAAACATCCCTGTATTCCAAATGCTCCCCTCTTGAATGTCGGTTAATGTCATCCACGAGTTGGAAGCACTGATGTGGAACTTCCTCTAGAGTAGTGCAGTGAATCCAATAAATTTGCTTAGTGAAGAGGGATAAAATTTGTAAGCCAAATAGGTTAAGGCAATGTTTTCAAGGGCTGAAGAAAGAAAGGCGGCCAAGGGTCCTGACTACCTAGGCAGATGCGTCATGATAAAGGCACCTTGAGGGGTGATCAAGGGTGTTGGACGGGTTTGGGTTAAGTGCCTTGGCCCAAGGCCAACCAAGGTGCTAGGCGCCTACCTACACGGTGGCTTGGCCAACTAGGTGGGCGCTTACGGAGCCCCCAGCCCTAGGCACCCCCCTAGGCCTAGGCGAGATGCCTAGGGCCTTGGCTCGCCTCAAAGGCGCCATCTAGGTGCCGAGGCAGGCCGCCTTCTTAAACACTGGTTAGGGGGATCCAAGAATTAGGAAACTACAAGATTGTAACACTGCTGTTCTCGGAAAGTGGTGTTGACTCTTTGTCAACCACAATGACCACATATGGCAGTCGGTTATTAGCCATTGGCATGGAACGGATGTCTCAATTGGTTGCTTAAAGGACCATTAACAATGAGGGGCCCATGGGGTTTGGAAGGCCATTACGTCCATAATGAACTACAACACATCAGATTTTAGAGAGACTCCTTAGTGGGACACCAACCCCTCGAACTTTCTTTCCCAACACTATACAATCAAGTACTGGACAAGGTGCCACCACCATTGAGCCATATTTCAAACACTTAAGTGACCAACTAGTATGGAATCCCAATTTTTTCCATGACCTAAATAACAATGAGATTGCAGACGTCTTGCCCATAATCAGTTGCTTTAATCATGCCTCGTCTCGAGATAAGGCTTAAACAAGATCACTTGGAGCCCAAACCTGAAATGTACTTTCTCCATGTACCGACTTCTGCTGATCTAGATCAAATCATTAGTCAGGTGCTCCCCTCAGGATTCATGGAAAGTTACAACAAAGTTTACATTGGCTACCTACCTAACACAACCCTCCTCCTTTACCTGGTTTTGAGACTGACAGGGGCCGGCCAAGGCAGAGTTGGGACCTGCTACCCTCAAATCACTTGCCATATCAAACACAACCTTGGCGATCAATCAACTCATCGGGAGAGGGCTTAAACTGGTCAAAAGATGAATGTGCAGCACTAAAGAGAATTCCATCCCTCCCTCTTCATCCATTGCAACCTCGCCTCTAAAGTCTGGTTTTTCTTCGTCCAATTGTTCGACTAATATTCAGTCACTACATAATATGTGGAAAGTCTTTTCGAACTCCATTTCTCCTTTGCCCGTTCCACCTTGGATCGCATACTTGGTCTATCTGGCTATAACACACTCGCCAAAACTTTGAAACTTTGCATGCCCAAATCACCAACCTTATTGACTGAATTAGAACAACAATCATCATCTAGGCACTTTCACAAAAAGAATTCAAACGCCAATAAACATCACTTCATGACTCGGTGGCAACAAATCATTTGATCCACCCTATATACAACCACAAGATCCTCTTTGCGGCTGCCACCAAAACAAGGCACCATGAAACTAAATTTCAATGGCAGCACCATTGGGAACACAGTCAAATCTGGCTTAGATCATCTCCAAAACCCATACTGGTGGGATCTTACTTACCTACTCCAGACCCGCTGGCACAAAAGATATCCACTGTCAACATCATCACCATCATCATTAGCAGAGCGTTTTCCAACTATTTGGGGTCGGCTAAACAAATTTTGGTCAGCCATTTTGCTCTATCAAGGGGTATACCCTCAATGAGGCCATAAATCCCCATATATTTTCTCACTACTTCCAAACATATCCTTTTGGGCCTACCCTTGCCCTTTATATAGCCTTCTACTTGAACAAACTGGCACCTCCTAACAAGTGTTGTACTAGGTCGATGTTGCACATGTCCAACCCACCTAAGTCTGCATTCTCTCATCTTATTGCCTTTTGAAGCCACACCTAAGTTCTCCTAAATGTATTCATTTCAAATTCTATCCCTTCTTGTCTGGCCATTCATCCATCTCAACATCCTCATCCCAACTACACTGATCCTATGGTTATGTTGTTTCTTGACTACCTAACATTCTGCCCATAAAGCAAAGCTGGTCTCATAGATGTCCTGTGAACTTCTCCTTCAGCTTCATTGATATGTGGCAATCACATAAAACTCCAGTAGCACATCTCCACTTCGCCTACCCAGCTCTAATTTTGTGCATGACATTTTTCTCAATCTCTCCACTTTCCTAAATTATCGAACCAAGTTATCAAAAGGGTGCTTTTTTTGGTATTTCTTGACAGAAGATGTCCCCTTTGCTGAATCAAAAGACTTGTTGGTCGGCATGCAGTCATTCCACAAATTTGGGGCTCAACAGTTATCATAGAGTGTCATTCCCAATACATCATCTCCTGGGCCAACAAGTCCAGCCCTTGACAAAGGAAGTTAGTGAACCTCTTTTAGCAATTCCTCCAATTGTGATATGCCCTCTCAGCTTTCAAATACACTTGGTGAGAAGCAACCCAATCTCTGATCACCTATCCACTGAAGAGGTGACTTGATCAACCAACCTAGTCACACAGCCTCTATCATCTAACCCTTTAAGTCATCAATTTGTACAGCCTAACCTATACGATAGCCATTTTTTATATCTAGATTCTAAACCGGACATCCACGCAAATTTTTGGTCTTTATGCATCATATCAAACCGTATAAGCTACATCATCAACCAAAGAGTTATTTATCAAAAAAAAAGTTTGAAAAAAGATGATGCACTTTTTAGTTGGTCAATTGAAGGAAACTGCTAAGAAGTTTGAAAAAAGACGATGCACTTTTTAGTTAGTCAATCGAAGGAAACTGCTAAGTAACTCAACCCTAAAAGTATGCGAGAAAAGAGAAAATATCAGCAAAGAAAACTGATATGCCACTGACACAAAAACATATTCGTCAACACATGCACAGAGAGAGAGTGAGAGAATGAGAGAGAGAGAAGGGGGGGAGGATGGCAAAGGTAGGAATATGGTAGGCTAAGGAACAGTAGAGAAAAGACAGAGATGGCAGATGAGGATGGAATACATGGCTGAATTTAGCATGTTAAGATGACGGGGAAGAGTAAAGAGAGAAAAATGATGGTGATAGCCATGATACAGACAAAGGACAAGTAGGGATGGAGTATGTTAAGGAAGATCAGGGACAATTAGAGAGAAACAGCGATGAGGGTGGAGCACTGGACGAATATGATAGGAGACAAAGGAAGATGAGGAGTGTGGAAAGAGAAAACGCTGGAACAAGGATGGGAAAGGATGAGAGGGATTGATAATTTATTGAAGTTAAGTGCAAAGGGATAGGATACGCTCTATTATTTTTCATGTCTCCACTTCATATCATCATACTAGTGTGAAAAATCAAGTGTTCATAATCCAGTTCAAAAAATCTGACAATAAGAATGGCACATCCACATTGAGCAATACTTTGAACAGGCCTGGCCCCACAAGATGCAATTTATAAAGATCCAAATATATGACAAAAAACATACTGACAGCTAAAAGTGTAATATCCTTCAAAAAGAAAAGGCTATAAGCCATATTCAGGAATCAGGATAATTGTTTAGGACACATACCGGCACAATGATTCTATTGATGGTTCCTTAACACGTATATCTGCAGGGTTAAGGAAATATTCAGTGAGAGTTATATTATTTTGTTTGATAAGTAAATTGCAATCAATAAGTTAAAGAGGAAATATTAGGCACAAACAAATAGTCCTTCAATTTGATGATGTGTCGTGATGGAGAAAGAAGATATATGACAAGCCCACATCTCCTGCTTAGATACTTCCAAACAAAAAGTACTGCCCAATCTAGCAAAAAATGTCCTCTTTGTTAGAGGAAAGCTCACCTAGTAAGCAAAGAGTATGCAACCCATGAAGACGATTTGTACATATTTTCTCATAAAAACTGTCTGGTCTCCATGTCTCGGTGAAGAATGGTATGGAGACAATTTCTCCATAGCGATAAAGTTGCAATCCACAAACCCCAATTGCATTGACTACAGAGGCATTGTGTATCACCTTGACTTCCACCCCCAATTTTTTGGCCCGGACAACCAGATCAGTATGTGTAGTTGCTCTGACAAGTAATAAAAACAGAAAAAAAAAAAATAGTTCATTAAAGCAATGTAACAACCAGTCTTCATATGACAATGTCCAATGTTATTGTCAAATGGAACAAGGAAGTCTTTGTTACTGCACCATAATAGAATTTTTCTTTTAAATGTAAAAATATTTATTCATTGCAAAAACTAAAACATGGTAGAAATGGAAAAATCAAATCATCAAAAAACACTCAGGTTGGTCTTGGATTTCTTCATGCTCCAAGTGGAGAATTTTGCTAAATATTTTTGGTAAGATTCAAGGCTATGCCCCATGGATCATGTATAATTCAAAGACCACAGAATATTCCCTGAAAAAAATAAGAAGACAAATCTGTGAAAGAGCACAAATGCATAATCTCCATCATTAATTAACACTCCACATCAAGAAAAAACAAGTGTGCTGTCTATCCAAAAAAATAAAAAGAGTACAGATCCTAATCCTAGAGAGTGGCTTCAAGGGGTCCATTGATGCAGAATCCACAGCCACTTCTCCAAGCCAATCTTCGGTTATGGTTTGTTGCATTTTTATGGGATCCAATCTAATCTCCAGGTGCAGTAATAAAGCAATGCAACGATCCATCCATCCACTCAAGTGTCAAAGCTCACTATTGAGCAATGGCAAGACTTACAGCTCAGCTTTGTCTCTTTTAATTTTTTTATTTTTTCTGAATACAATAGCTGATTTACTTGGTTTGCTTAAATGATCAATTTTAGCATTTCTACATTATGAGATGTAACAGTGGAAGTGGCATCCCCTTGCCCAAGAAGATGGTGTTCGGGTCCACACAAAGCACATTGAGATTTAGATAATCGGTGGTTTTCTCATATATACATAAATCTATTCTGACTATTATTATAATAACATCAATTCAGGAGTAGCACTTACCATACCTTATGAGCATTAAGATAAGTCAAACTGCATATATAGACAACTAATCTGACATGATGCTAGCCACAACCGACCGAGTCGTATAGGTTGTTGGCAAAAGCAAAACCTAGAAATAACTCCCCAAAAAAAAAAACGTAACTCAGAATAAATAAAAAAAAGAGAAAATAATGGGACAGATTCAAGCACTCTTGTTCACACGCACATACACAAAGCAAAAAAGAGTATTAAGAAAGTCATACAAGATCATTGAAAAATAAATAAATGATATCATTTGGTTTGCTTTAGGAAAAAGTTTTTATAATGTTGCAACCTTATACTACAGAAGCAAGGTCCACCTCAAAAATCCAGTAGAAAGAGTGTTCCGAAGTTGGAAAACCTTCCAAGTGATCATCTTGACCTTGAGATATATGGATATGAAGAAAAATAAAAATGTTAACTCCTAAAAATAGTGCATCTTGTAACAAGTTATCCGGACCGTCTATTTTCAAGTGCTCAATCTGCACCATTTTTGGAATTTCAAATTTTATAATTAGGATTGAACATGGATTTTCAAGCCAATGTAAGGTCTTCGACACGAGAACTACATCTTCGGACAAAATTTAGGCATCTTTCCATTTCTACATGACAGTTAGGCATTTTTCCATTTTTCTCCGTCTCAAAAAAAGCAAAACCAATAAAATTTAACAAAATAGAAGGTGGGTTATATTAGGTACATTAACATGCTCTAGTCTGTAATTTTCAATGTCCTAAATGTCAGTTAAAATTCAAAGTTTGCAATTTTATTTATTGAGATAGATCATAATCTGCAATTTCTATTGCATAAAGCTTTCACATGACCAATAGTGAAAATACTTGGACTTGAATCTTTTTATACTCAATTCCATGTCTCAAAGAAATGGGATTGTATACAATGAGACCATTTACCTTTTGTATAGGAAGGTCATAATTACTTACAACCATTTGATGTAAAATCTGATAGCTTGGGTGTGTCACAAAGTTCGAGAGAATTTCTTTTGAACATTGAGCTTAATCAATGAAATAAATGCGGCCAACCAATTTTACATCCAATGGTCAAGATCAATTATGAGTACCTTGTACCAAAGGTAAATGGTCTCGTATTTAAATTTGACATGAACCATAGAAAGAAGTACTTCTCCAAATCCAGCCGTGTGAGACAAAAAATTCACACCAGTACAAAAAATTATTCCCAAGAATAAGCTTTAAGCTTAATAACGCACCCAAAGGGATCCCCAACCACTAGAAAAGCTACACCAAATTCACGAGCTTCGTAAAGCATATCATCTACGCTTTCCTCCACCATCTCTCTGTCTGCAACAATAAGTGGCTTCCCATACAAATCCTCCTAAAAACCAAATAAAATCAGAACCAATGCCCATGTTCATTGGAACCAAAATATATACAATAACCAACATTGTAATTTCACCAAAAAGAAAAAAAATTGATAGTGTCAACTAGTAAGAGCTCAAAATATCAAACAGATTATACCAAAAAATTGAAGCTCGTACTTATCAAATAGACACATTTGAAAAATTCATTTGTGTGATGAATTGTCATGCCATTGCATAAATTATGAATCTTTAATGGTGAATTTCAATTTACAAGAGAAAACCGAGTGATTAACCATGGCTTCACCAGAAGAAAAGGGGCAAAAAGAAATAGAAAGAGCATGAACATGGGCATCTAGTACCAAAGAGAGAAACACAGGAATATAAGAAACATACCAATGTTGAAAGGCCATTAGAGGAGAGGCCAAAGGAAAGCAAGGAAGTGTAGGCCTCAATATATACTCTCTCACATTTTTTCACAGCTTCAAGGCCCTTCAAAGTAATATCCTTATCGTCCCCCAGTCCAAGCCCAATAATGTATAGCATTCCTTTTTAATTCGCTCCACCACAAAAACCCTAAACCCTAGGTTACCACTGGTGGATTGTTTGCCAGAGAAACTGAAACAATTTTAAATACATAGGAGCATTGATCATGCGAGCATTTTTGCAACAGTTACAACCAAGGTAGCGCTTACAGCTCTCTCTCTCTCTCTTTCTCTCTCTCTAAACGCGCGCACTTATATCAGTGGAGGGCAGTGCTCCTGCTGTAATTCTTGCTTGGGTGCACTTTCTTGGACGTATAGTTTAATCCCGCCGGATCACTCTGTACATTACTCACGAGATTCCCTCTGGAATCGCGAACAACCCCCTTATTTTACGTAGAAATTGGATGGCTTTTGCGACACAGTGCGACCGTACTTAACTCAAAAAATGTCCCATAGTATATATATATATATCATATATTGAAATTGAGAATGGGGTTGGGCTTGTAGTGGTAGCACTACCTTAGCTTCAGCTACCGGTCAAAGTTATTCTCACTCACGCGTTTGAAAAGCACTAACGATTTTTAAAACGGGTAGGAGGCTATATTTCCCACTGATCTACCACAAAAAAAGTCATATATTCAAATTTATTTGTAGTTCACATCCTCATTTACATATACATATTATTCCATAATAATAAAGCTCAAAAATAATAATTAAATTAATTTGAAATTCCTAAATATGTTACTTTATTAATTAAAAGTTTATTCGTCAATATTTTCTTATAGTCCAAAGCAAAATTGCATCATAACAACATAGAAAAAAGTTAAAAACTATTAGTTAATTATTAATTCAAATTGTACAACCCTTTTTACATAGCTATTAAATATGGTATTAATATATTTATCCAACATCTTATTATCACATCACAATCACCCTCAATAGATCCATCTTTTTCTAATATTTATTCATCAAACATCCTTTTCTCAATATTAATTTCAGTAGGACCATTTGAGTTGTCTTCATTGATGCCATATTCCAATATTAGTATGGATTGGATCTATATACGTCTGCCTCCGCGTGAGCAGTCTCATATTGCTACGAACAAATACAGTTATTAAAAAAATGAATGTTAAAATTTTGAAAAAGGGGCCATACTGCACTTTGTAGGCAAAAGTACTATAAATTTTAAAAACTATCGAAGACAAGTACGAGCATCCAAAACTTGGAAAACTCAAGTGCATGGCAATGCAAGTAGCATGATATAAAATACTATAATAATAAATTTAAGTAGAAAAAAACTTGGAATGTTTATTTGTACTTGAAATAAAACCATATTTTTATTTATAAACCCCTTGTAAAAATTATGATATTTTTTAATTTCATTCCAAACTATTTTTTAGTTCTAATATATTTTTATTTGTAAACTAAAATAGCATTTATTGAATAGTAGTTATTCTAAGCAAAGAAAAGCCACATTCGAAAAACAAAATGTGTTAAAAAAGGGGTACGCTATTAGACACTCTATAGGAGAGTTGTACGCATTGTTAGAAGGGCGACATACATGTCAGTGTCTACCAAGTGTCCACACGTAATTAGACTTTTGGATACGTGTATCAACATTTCGTATTGAGCAACTTCTTTATTCCAAAACTCATCCTAGGATTATCTTTTTTATTCCAAAATTTGGCAGTGTAATCTCTAGAACCCAATGAGCAACTTCAAAGAAAGAAAAAACTAACCTATAGCCTAAAAAACAAACGTCCCACTATTATATAGGGAATCATTCAATTATTGGAAAGAAATAACTAAATGTTCAAGAACTTAAAATCCAAATTTATTTTATTTTAAAACAATCAAATATTGATACTAAATGGATCCCAATTTTTTGAATAAATAAATTCTTCCAATTAGCAATTTTGTAGAAGGGAGTTGCTGTATAGTATATGCTCCTGCGGAAGCACGCTTTGTATACTGCTTTCTAACAGCAAATGAGTATTCTAAATAAGGGAAAAAATGGAAATTATCAAAATCCCTCAATAAATAAATTATTTAATATTTTTATCGATTTGCAATTATTCCAACTCATAATGATGTATTTTTTAATGAGTGTTTGGAAATTATGTAAAAACACATGCGTATATTGTTAAAAGTTTATCTCATGGGTATTTGTATATAAGGCATAAATCTCATTTATTATATCATAAGAAGTAGTGCACATCGTTAATCTACTATTGTCTTGATGTTGAAAGACCTTCTACTTGATTATCTCAACTTCCTTGAATGTGCATTGATGTAATAAAAATAGATTTTAAAGTTTTTAAAATGGTACATTTTGCAACATCATAGATACCACTTGTTTTCAATATTTTCTTAGTGTTTATACTTCAACTTCATTATTTTGTTGAGCTTTCCATTTTATGATTAGGGTTGGAATTAGACTTTCCTACCATTGTAACGATCCTAATACTGGAACTGCCTCTTCTAGCATGATTTGGAGGTGCGTGGTACTTTGATTATGTGAGGATGACACATTCTATAAAGGATGTAGTTTCCATACGGTTGCAACTTTAAACAATTTATTTAAGGCGTTCCTTTAAATTTTATCATAACATATAATTTTGATTAAAATAATATTATCTCAAAATCTAGTTTTATAAATTAATTATAAAACTTTTAACTCAAAAAATGATTAAAATCAAGTAGATCTATAAACATATGAAAATCTTTAAAATGGACGGTCTAGATTATGTGCTGTAAAATGCACCATTTTTAGGAGTCGAAATCTTTGTTTTTTTTTATAGTCATACATCTCGATATCGAGATGGTCAATTAGAGGGTTTTTTAATATTAAAACAACCTTTTTTTGTGGATTTTTTAAGTGCATCCGTAGTTGTACATTTTAAGGTTGCAACCTTATATAAACTTTTTCCTTCTATAAATAACATCCTTTGGAGAAAATAAATATGTTTTGAGTTTTTAAATGCTAAGATATATATCCAAAATTGACCGATCTTCATGCATTCAATCCCATAAAATTAGATTTTCCGTCGCAAATCATATGTACAAGTATGCGTGTGACTACCATTAAGCCGGTGTATCCTATAGCATCCCTATTTATTCTAGGATACATGGTGATCTCACGATCCAAAAAAAGCAGTCCTCAATGAGTTTTTCCTGATGGAGAAAATGCGCGACATCCTTTATGGTGCATTTAATATTTGTAAGTTTATGATAATATCTCCTATAATTAGCAATATCAGAAGCATGTCATCGACATCTTTTATTTTACATTTATACTCCCTTTTCCTCCTTTTTATTTTTTGCCCAAAATGCTCTATATTTGGAATTTATCTCCGCTACGCCCAAAATATGGTTTCATGTTCAAAACTTCAGTTATGAAACTAGAAGTTTTGGATCAACATCTTTATCATTACTTCAAAACCACTATACTAAAGGAATTGTCTTGGAAGAAAGCATTTATTTTTTATACATGGAGGTTGTAATCATTTTTACCTCTTAAATTTCAAAACGGGTGATTGTAAGAGCCATTGCATAAACATAAAGTTATAAAAGAACAATTATTGGACTTCGTGGCTTACCCCAAGCCATCCAATTTGATATATAATAAGTGAGAATAAACGTAGCTTCCACATATAAAAGATAAATGGTATCTTCATGGACAATCCCAATACTAAATGTGACCCATTGGTTCAAAACCACTAAAAACATCGGTTCAAAACTAGTTCCAAACCAACGATAAATATATCAATTGCTAGTTGGGGACATTTTAGGGAAAATTGTGAAAAGAAAAAAAAGTAACTTATGTACATACCCAAAATATTTACCTAAAATACGAAATTTACCTAAAATACGAAATGAGGCAATGTTAGGCAAAATTTACGTGGAAGGTCCGTCTACCCGTGTTTTCTTTGTTAATAAAAAAATTACCCTCGATCTGATGATGCCATCCTTTGACCACTTTTTGTTTTTTAAAATGTTTTTTGAAATAGGGTAATGCCCCAATATTTAGGGCAGTGCCCATGCGGTATGAGGTTAGCATCTTCGGACTACCCTGCGAAAAGAGCAAAACCCCTACTGGGTTTTATTTTATTTATGTTCTCTCTTTCTCGTTCTCTTCCTCTCTCTCTCTCTCTAAACAGTCAACTGGACCAAGCATCTACATGAAGATTTCCGGCTATGAAAGCGTGACTCTGCCAAGAATCCAATTTTTAGATTTTAAGTTTTTTTTTTTTTCTTTTCTTGTCTCTAGGTTTTACAATTTGTAAGAAACTTGAATGGTAAGATTTGAAGTTAGTTTTTTTAAATGGGAAGTTGCGTTCTTCTATTTTAGATTGCAATTGAAAGGAAATAATTTTGGATCTATACAAATATGTAATATCACATAAAAAGCAACCGGAAATCACTAAAAAATGTTAGATAGCCAAACCATGAAATTATTTTTCTGACATATTGGGATTTTTTTTTGTTTTAAATCTTACCAAAAATCAGCGGTTTGTGTTTTATATTTTCATTTATATATGTAATTTAATTTTTAATTTTGTTATTCAATAATATGTCATGAGCAATTTGCCATGGCACCTCAAAATTTACCGAAAATCTAAAAAGTTAGTGAGGTAAAATAAAGCAAACCATAAACTTCATTTTCTGACATATTAGGGGCTTATTTTTTCTTTTTCTTTTTTCTTTTTTTTTTTAAAAAAAAAATCTAACTGAAAATCAATTATACGTTACATCATTATCCAGGGTAGATATTTCCATTGAATAGTTTTACGAATAATTTTGTCAGTGTAAAGTATCATTTTATATGAAAAAGGTCTCTCATCTTCTTCTACTATTAGTAGTTTTAGAATTTATCGTTGTTTTTTATTAATTTATAGCTGGCTCTACAGTGTACTGGAACATTATAGCTATCTTATTTAATTTTTTATCCATTCGTTTGTACCTTCATCATTAATGTCTCTTTGAGATTTTTATCTTCTAAAGCTACCATGAAATTTGAAAACATTTCAAAATGAACATGTCCATTACGTAACAGAGCTTGTATTCCTCCAATTAATGCATCTTGAAATCTAAAATGTCTATAATCTACCACACACACTAAGATTATCACATTTAATCATTTTCTAATAGAGGACATATTCCTATTTTTATCATTCCCAAGTGTATAAAACTATGCCCTTGAACTCTTATAAATTTTTTTATTTCTTACTATCTAGTACTGGGATCATTACATTTTTCTCATCATTTTCTGATACTTTTGAAACTCCTTTAGTCATTTTTATAGAAGGCAATGATTTTAGATCAAATATATAAATTTTATACATTTCTTGCTTCTTTTTTCTCATGAATTTTCCATAGGTAAATCATCATTTTCCCAACTA